CACAAAGGAAGGAAAAAATTAACCTGGAGATTGAGGAACCAGCCTCTCTTTATGTTCTCCAGAACATGAATAGCATTCAAAGGCCCTGGAAAACTTTTTCATSCAAAAATTAGCACACAGCCCAAGATACCAATCTATTTTAGAGGACAAGTCTCTGCTGTTTCTCTTTAGATTTTTTTCCCTCTTATTTATTCTCCAAAGACATCTTTGGCTTTGGAGAAAAGATGGGATTTTAATTTTTGTCAAAAGGCAACAACAAAGGGAACCATTTATAGCAGAAAGCTCTGCTCGGCTTTGAAGTATTCAGTTCAAATAGCTGCCTGTTAAAAGGACATTTTCTAGCCCAATGTATAGTAAAATCCATTTTAAAATCCACAATTTGCTTTAAAAAATGGAATGGGAAGTGTTAAAAAGTGTAATGTATGTATTGAAGGAAAAAACTTCAGAAAATTACATTTCTTGGCTCTCAAGCAAAGTAGCTCACGTAAGGAATCCAGGTTCTCTGAATTAAATCTGTGTTAAATATCTGAGTGTTTTGAGCAGAGTTGCCCAATGATGCTGTTAAAAGAACAGAATTGGAAGTGGCTGCTGAGTTTTGTGYCCTTCTGCTCCACACTGAACTACCCATCTGTCGATTTAAAACCAAAAAGTGGGGAAATATCTCCTGTTTTCATTCTCAGCAAAACTGCAAAMTGCCCACACTTGAGGAAAAGGAGGRAGAAACTCAGGCTCAGGCAGTTTCTCCAAACTCTGCATCACAGCCCAGAGCGTTTTTTGCTTTCCAGCCAGCCAGGAGGTAAAAACGCCTCTATCACAATAAAGATTTGATGATTTGCCTTCTCTACCTGTTTTCAAGCATGAAATTACCTTGTTGGGCAAACATGAGCAAGAACTGTGACTGTCTGTAAAATCAGGCTGTTACAATTTCCCTCTCCCTTCTGCAGAGACTGAATTTATATAACACTACTAAAGCACCTCTGAAATATCACAGGGAAGATGCCAGGCAAGTACAGATTATTTTGGTCACTCTAATCTGATTAGAAACGCTGCCCACTCGTGCATTTGCACAAACAGAAAAACCACCAGAAGTCGTCTCACACGGCTGATCCCCCCAAAAAAATGCCACTCTGGGAGGATGAGTCACAACCTTGACATCAAAAATGACAAAATTACGGTGATTTCAGCCTTTGTTTCCACGGGATGATAAAATAAGCACCCTCCCTGAAGGGGAGATCATACCTGGTTCTCATCCTGCACCTCCATGCTGTACTGGGGTCCTGGTTGAACCTCTGTGACTTTCTCTCCCAGGAGGAAGCCCAGGCGAGTCATGAGTGTGTTTGCTGCCTCATCTACGGATGGAGGGGGTCCCAGCTCCTGCTCAGTGTCACCTAAATGGAAAAAAAAAACCAAATCAGACAGGAATTGTTTATCTTGGCTGTTTTATCGACACAACACGACTTCCTGCTCGTGCTGTATCCTCAGTATCTGTGTTATTTGTGTTATTCAAGCCTGCTTTACAATTCTGGTCATTACTTTTAGCTCATTAATTTATTTTTTATAAATATAAAAACATATATTTATGTTTTCTCCAGCGTTAACTGTTGCTCCTCATTTTCTCCCATGGAAGCACACCCAAGCATCTCATCCCTGGAGCAGAAGCACCAAAGCCACCAGGGAACAGGATTTTCTGGAAAAGAGGAATATTCACTCTCCTCCCTCACACAGAAACTGCCTCAGAGTTATTCCCAGAGAATGCAAAGCCACGAGAGCCATTTGGAGCTGCAGAGAAACCAATCTGTGCTGCTGAGCCATTAACAGGAAAGAGCAGGACAGAAAACAGAGAGAAAACAAATTCCACCATCACCTGCTGTCCCCAACTTGCTCATGGTCACAGGGAAATCAAAACTTTCCAAACCAAAACTCTCCAAACCAAAACTCGCCAAATCAGAACTCTCCAGACAGACACAACCTACCTTCTGTCCTCACCCTAGGGGCTCTGACACAAAGCAAAATCCAATTCCCCAACAAGTCCACAAAACAGGCCRAACCCAACATTCCTAATAATTTTTCCTACGGGTTTTTTTTTTTCCCCACTACCTGTAGGAAAAGCAGCACTGAAAAACTTCCAGTTAGCAATGCCCACTGGGAAAATGCCAGCAGGTTTTTTTTTCTGTATTTCTGTACTCTTTTTAATTTTGTAACAAAAATCTGTGGAGGTTTTTGACTTGCAGGATTTGGGTTCTGAAAGTCAAGCTCCTCTCTGCTCACGCCAGCAGCACGGATAAAGCCTGAAGGTCAAGTTCTTCCCATGTTACACTGAAGTAATGCAGTGCTGAGTGCAGTTATAGGAGACTAATTAGGATTTGCAATTAGTGTACAGTTAATTATTCATCTGATAATGTACAATCTGGATAAGAGCCCATCTCCATTTCCCAGCTCTGTCCTGGTTTGGGCTGCTCCAGCACTCA